GCATTCAAGGCCTCAGGGCTGCTGCTACCATTTTCTGCTGGTAATTTCTTCTTGCTGCCTAGCACTGAGCGAAAATCCGGGGTAGCAGGTTTGGGAGGTGGCACTTTCTCAGGCACGGGGGTCTTGGGAGTCCCTTTCTTGGCCAGGACAGAGCGGAAGTCAACCTGCTGGGGGCTATGTACCTTCCTCTCTTCCTCCGTCACAGTCTTTGGCTTTACTTGCCGCTGCAGGTTGGCGCGGAAATCCATCTGCTCAGCTGGGATCTCCTTCAAGTCTTCTTCTGACACAGTCTTGGTACTCACCTTCTTCCCCAGGAGGTCACGGAAGTCCAGCTGCTCTACCTCCTGCTGGCGGATGGCCTCCTCCGTGTGCTGCCTGGTCTCCACGCGCCTCTTCAGCACCCCCCGCACGTCCTCACCGTCTTCCTCCTCTGGCCAACCCTGCCCTCTTGCCAGCCAGCTGGGCCTCAGGGTCCCATAGTGATCACCACTGCCACCATCAGCGCCAGCTTCTCCACCACAGAGGCCCTCACAGCTGGCAGGCTCCCTCCCCCTGCAACCAGTGGAGGGAAAAAGGAAAGTAGCAGGAGGAAAGGGGCTGGGTAAGAAAGAACGTCAGGGGAGAGCAAATCCCTGAGGGCGGAGGGCAGAGAGGAGGGGCGAGGGAGGGGGCTGGCCAGGCTGTGTTTATAGAAGGGAACATTGGTGAGAGGCGCTCACTCGCCTAGTTGGTTTATTACATCGGTAATGACTTCAGTAGCCTTATAAGGGTGTGTGCAAAAAAAAGAAAAATCACCCCCTCCTTTCCCCTCCTCTCCCTCCCTCATTCCCCTCCAATCTCTCCCTTTTGGCTTTGGCAGCCTCTGCTGGAGGATACGAACACTCTGGGGATGCTGGGCTGGGGCAGGGGTGCCTGGCGGGGCAGCTCCTGGGGGCACTCACCGTGGGGGGGCTCTGGCAGGGCTGCTCTGTAGCATCAGTGACACCTGGCAGCTGCATTCGCCAACCCGGTTCCTGAGGAATTCCAAAGATCAGTGAAAACCAAGAAGCTGTCTGGGCAAAGGGCCAGCTCAGCATGGACTTGGTCACAGGCTGCCAGCCACCGGGGAAGATGGAAGTCACCAGCTTAGCTGTGACGTCCACCCAGAGTTAGGTTTAGGGCAGGGCCCTCTCACCCTGTGGTTACCTTTTATTTTCCCGGCTCTTGTTTAAAAAGAAGAAAAAGGAATCTCTGGACAACAGCTAAGACAGGCATCTAGAAGTAGGAATACTTTTCTAAGTGTATTATATAACACAATCAGTCAGTCATTCAATCAATAAGAGGAGAAGAATAAAGGCTAACCCTGCTGGGGTCCGCAGTCAGACCTGGTTAGCCTGCCCAGTGACCTTGACTCTGACTCCCTGCTCCCTTAACACAGAGGCGGGCACTTCCCCTCGACCTCTCGGGAATACAGCACCCCCAAACTCTACTTACTGGCAATGCCCCTAGGTCAGAATTTTGTGCGTTAAAAACCTAACAGGTGTTTCTCTACATGGGTGGCCCTTTCTCTTCTTCCTTCAGGTGGGGAGGGCTCTGGATCCTTCATGTCCATAAAACTGTTTGCCCTCCCAGCGGTGGCGCAACTGAGGCCCCTCTGCTCTGGGGAGAGATTGGAAGGGTTTACAGCCGACCAGCCCGCCAGCCCCTCAAGGCTGCCATCTGCTGGCGTTTCTGAGCTCTGAACAGCCGAGAAAGTTCTGCTCAGGCTGGGGGAGGAGTGGGACAGGCCTGAGAGCCAGAGGGGACTCTTGGTGGCCACAAGGACTGCATTTTATGCAGCACCCTCGAGCCTTCATATGTCCACACCTGTTGTTTTCCTTGTTCCCCACAATGCCAGGGAGGTGCGGAGCATGGCCGTGCCCCATTGAAAGATAAGGAAAGCAGGCTCAGGGGTGGACCCTCGGGGGTCTCGACATCTCATCCCACTCATTCTCCAGTTTACAGCCCTGTCACTAGCACTCAGCCCCGGTGGCAGCTGTGCCAAGCTCTGTGACAGGTTCCTCATATGATCCATCTCATTTTATCTCAGGATAGCTCTGTGAAGTTGGAGTCAGCACTGTTTTTAAAGGGTAAGAAAAACAAGTTAATAAAGGTTAAGCAATTTGCCTGAACTCACAGAGCTAACTAGTGGGGAAAGAGCTGGGGACCTGTGACCTCTGTACCCTGTCCCACAGTACTCATCAGAATAAATCTGTTCTGGGATCCGTGTGTGTTTGTGTGTGTCTACGTGCATATGTACATATCAGCCATACATTTGGATACAAACATACATGGGGTCTATCTGGCAGACACCTGTACCTGGAGGTCCGTGTTTGAGAATACCTGTGTGTGCATGAGTCATCCCCACATGGACAGACATCGGGGCATGTGTTCCTGTATGTTCTGCTGATGTGTGTGGGTGTCCACCTCACTCTGCCTGGCCTCCCTCCCAACGGGCCCATGGAGTGGCATGCGATCCTCAGGGCGCCTGGTGGTTGCTGCTCACCCCTGGGCACTGGGACCCGTTTGAAGCAAGGAGAGGTCAATTTTGCTACCCTCTAACCCTCTCTCACCCGCTGGGGCTCCCTCTTTCTTCCCTCTCCCCAGTGCCCTCGCACTGTCCCAGGCTGTGCCACTGTAGGTGCCTTCCTGGCTGCCTTAGCTCTTTTCCTCCTCTCTCTTCCCCGGCCAGCCAACCCACAGCCATCCTGTCCTGCTGCCCCCCTCAGTGCTCAGGCTCTCAGGGAGCACAGATTGAAGGTTCAGGGAGCCTCATGTCTGGAGAATGTCAGGGCCCAGGGTGCCCCTTCGCTCAACAAACAGCAATGAGAAGCCTCGTTAGTGTCAGGCCCTGAGGCCCTCAGAGCACTCTGAGCTCTCGACACTCAGAAAGGCTGATGGAGTTTGGGTCAACTTGTAGAATAACCACGCAAAGGCGTGCTGGGTCAAGGCCCAGACCCTGGCACCTGCTTCTGCCAGGCTGCTGGCCAGTGTTAGGCCATTCCTTTCCCCCTTTTCTTTCAAGCTTAACGCAGTGGTGCCCAGGTTTGGCGTGGAGCCGGAAGACGAGATGCTCAAGGACTGTGTTTGCCCAAAAGCCCTTGTCAACATCTCCTCAGCTGAGCTTCCTTCCATCACCAGTGGAACACAGCCCAGATGCAAACAGCAGGAGCAGACACTGCCTAGATGGCCACGCTTTTCCCCAGCCCGACCCTGCAGAGGCTCTGAATGGTGGGGCCCTGCCCATGGGCTGGAGTAAGGCGTCTCTCCACATGGGGAAGCTGTAAGGGCTTCTGTCGTCTTCCATGACCTGCCCTCAAGGCAGAGAGCACAGACTCAGATAAGCCTCTCAAGGCCTCCTGCTCAATTCACCTGCAGGGCTCACCCTGTGGCACCCTGCAGTCTGAAGGGGCCGAGGAAGGTGGAGAACTTGGGATCCCATGGCTGGACCACTAAGTGGATCATCCCTTGTGGGGGCAATCTAGGGGTAACTATTTCCACAGCCATAAACTTAAATCTCTGCTGGGCCTTTAAGGCAAATCACGGGTTCACAGGCTGAACTCTGTAGGTTCAGCCTACAGAGTTCAGAGGGGCCTCCTGCCTGGGACCCACGTGCCAGATAATCTAACCAGATGGAACAGTGTTTTGGGGCTGTCTCCGACATTTGCACACACCCAGTTACAAAATCATGTCTGGGCTGAGGAGGAGGCCCCATCCCAGGTGCTGCCACGGAGTAAGAACACGGGGCTATCACCTATATATTGCATCTTTCACAAACTAACAGAGCCCGTTTGCCCCTGCTTCCCAAGCCCTGAATAAGAAGCCCACACTTCAGTTACAAAGCCCTGGATCCTGTCCCACTCGGAATCATTCGTCTCTGGGATGGATTTTATATGCAAAATTAGTTTAAAGAACTAATTTCCTGGCAAGTATCAATTTTTCAACCATTTCAGCTATAATTGGGAGCTGACTTTTTGACATTTGCCCTTTTGGTGCAGGAGATAAAAGCTAGGGAAAGGAAGGGAGATAGAAACTAGCCACCTACACTTGCCTTACAACTTTAGCAGGGACAGACAGGATTTGCCCCCCACCACCCGGCACACCTGAACCCTGGCTTCCTTGTAGCCACCCAGCCACCCCCCTAAAAAGGCGCCCTGCCCTGGGTCTAGGGTCTGACTCCTGTCAGGACGAGAAAAGCAGCAGAAGCGAGGCCACTGGCAACCTGGCACACACTCCCCAGGAGAACTCTCCACCGACTTCCTCCTTCTCAACTGGGGACAAAGCCAAGGCTAGGACAACAGCCTCCCAAAGGAATAAAGAGGCTGGACTTTTGGGAGGAAGTAGAGGCAAGGGCGCACGGGTGGAGACTCCGGCGTGGTTGATTTCCCAGGTACTCCAAGTTGAACTTGAGAGAAGCTTCTCATGCTGGGCCGTGAGGAATGGAAGAGCACCTGATTTAAGTCAGAAGACGAGGGTTTGAACTTGGGCTCTGCTCCTCGCCTTTGGGTGGCCATGAGCAAGTCCATGACCCTGAGACCTCAGTTTCCCCCGTTATTAAATGAGGATGAGGCTAGATAACTTCTGATGTCCTTCCCAGCTGGGACAGTCTAAGTTTTATGACTGTCCCCAACTGGCCCCAGACAGTCTGCCTGCTGGCCTCCCAGTGCAGCCCTCCTCTCTGGCCTGGCAAATTTCCCATAGCCCTTTGCTTTGCTATACCCCTTCCCCACCCTTTCCTCTCAGCATGTTCAACAGCAAAGCCTGTTCTCATTTGCCAAGACTCAGCCTTGCTTTTCTCCTCAAAACCCAGAGAAAGCTCATCTCCTCTAGGATGTCTGGCTTGAGTAACGTGAGTATTGTCTCACAGTACTCCTTCTATACAGACAAGCTGGTTGGCAAGTATTTTTACACATCATCAGTTTCCATTCTTTGTACTGGCCTAGGGAACCAGAGTGTCCCTTCTCCCCATTTTGGAGGCAGAGTTGCCTTCCTGGTAACAACTAGCTCAGGCATCAGGCTGAGATAGTTGCTGTGTTCTGAACATACTGCTAATGGTAGTGGGTGACCCGCAGCCTGTGCCATCCCATCAGCTGACCACAGCCATGTCATTGAGCTCAGGTGAGATTCGTTGAGCCTTGTCCAGCTCAGCAGAACTTCCTAGCAGACCCAACAACTCCTAAGAAATAATAAATGGCTTTTAAAAAATGGCTACATTAAAAATGCCACTAAGTATTGGGGTGGTTTGTTATATAGAAAAAGCTAGCAGACACGTGTGTGAAGCACATACCCAGAAAGGACCCAAGGGGACAGGATATACACTGGGTTTGCAACTATTGTAGGCACAACTCTCCATCACGGCAGCAGCCTTGGCATTTAGCTAGAGAGCCTGTTTGTAGCTCAGAGCCGTAAACACGAGAGGCTCAATAGTGGGAAGTGACCAAGTCCCGGAGAGAAAGCCCCTTGCAGAGTGGTCAGGCACCCAAGCCAGGGCAGGTCTAACCATCCTCAGCATGTGGCACAATTTCCTACTTGTAGGTTAAGTGTAGACAAGTGCTTTTCTTCAACGTTTATGCCAACCCCAGGACCAAGGGCAGGCATTCTATCTCCATCAATCCAGGGCTGGCATAGAATTTCAAAGGTTGGAGCATTTTAAAGGACATTTCTGAATCACATTCATTTACAAAATAGTTACCAAATGCTAACTATGGGCCAGACACTGTTCCAGGCCTGGGAACATAGCAGTGTGCTTCAGAGAGCTGACCTTCCAGTGTACCCTAGCAAGACCTTGAAAAGCTGAGAAAAAAAGGAATGGAGAAAGTTAACCTCCCTGCAGTGGTCTTAAAATGTCTACAAATTATCTGACACTCCTCTCTCCAAAGGTGGAAAGCAATTCCCCTCCCCTTGAGCATGGGCTGTATGGAGTGACTCACTTCTAACAAACAGGAAGTTGGAAGTGATGACGTGTGACTTCCAAGGGTAAGTTGTAAGAGACATTGCAGGCTCCAACTGGTGTTCTCTTTTAGATCACTGGCTCTGGGGAACCCAGCTGCCATGTCATGAGGACACTCAAGCAGCCCTGTGAGGGGCCCCCAAGGCAAGGAGCTGAGGCTCCTGCCAACAGGCATGTGAGTGAGCCACCCCGGAAGCAGCTTCTCCAGTGTCAGCCAAGCCTTCCGAGACTGCAGCCCCTGCTGACATCTTGACCTCAACTTCAAAATCATCCAGCTAAGCTGCTTCCAAATTCCCAGCCCACAGAAACTGTGAGATAATAAATGTCTGTTGTTTCAAGCTGCTAAGTGTTGGGGTAACTTGTTACAGAGCAATAGATAACGAATACGTTCCCTCTATCCTCCTACTTTTCCCACTTTAATCCATCCCCTCCTCCTTCATATCTTCCATACACCACACATTGGGGGAGCAAAATCCAGGATATAATAAGGCCGAAGATTTGGGGAAACGGAGCTCAGAAGGGAAGGTTTCAAGGCACATCTGCTACACTGAAGAGGAAGAAACCAGCTGTCAGCAGCACGGGGCCTGCACTTGCTTTACTCTGAAGTCCAAGCCCCACACCAGTCTGTGCGTCCCCCAGCTTCCCAGACCCAGGTGAGGGGCACTAGGAATGTGGGGGTGCGGGAGTGAGGGAGGCTGGCGGGCCATGCAGACTCACTTGAGCAGGATCTCATACTGGCCGGCGTGCCAGGGCTGCACGTTCCTTAGAACCAGGGTGAACACGTCCTCATTCTGCAGCACCTCGAAGTGGCCAGTGTCTTTGGAGAGGGCTTTGCCATCTCGGAGCCAGTGCACAGTAGGAAAGGGGTCACCAGCTATGGCGCAGGAGATGAGGACACTCTGGCCCAGGGAGGCTGTGACCGAGCGAGGCTTGCTGATGAACCAGGGCTGGGTGCCATCGTGAGGCTCTGGAAGTTGGCAAAGGACAAAGCTAGAGTGGGAGGCCCTTCAGCAGGCAGCGTCCACTCAACTCCCATGGTGTGAAGGGTGGGAAGCCAGCGCGTCACCCAAGTAACAGCTTGTCCAGAAATCACTTTGGTTGGATGTATACCTGCAGCACATCCTTCTCTTTGCAAATCTGTCTTGTCACATTCTCAGAGGACAATATTAACAGGAATTTGTATATCTGAAGCAAGGGGAGATAGTGCAGAAGGCAGAGGGACATTGGGCTGGGTGCTAACGATCGGCGTCAGGTGCGTATGATTAAGAGGCTCACTTTACATGTGCTTAACTTGCCTCTCCTCTTAAATGTAAGTTCCCTGATGACGAGGACCCTGACAAGCTCACAACTCACCTCAAAAGCTATCACTGCCAAACTGTTAAGTGTATTACTTAGCACTCATGCAGCTTGTCACCAGTAACCCAGACAGGGCAGGGATTTCAGAAAGCTGGGAAGGGCAGCCCCACCTGGCCAGAGCTTGCGATACAGGATAGGGAGCTGACCTCTGGGCTGGGATGGGACCCAGGGAGCAGACGGTCCACAGTGGGAGCAAAGCAGGCTCACATGGCTTCCTCGCCTCCATGTCACTTTTGGACAGGCCACGGCAGGACTCCCCCCCCACCTGCTCCTCGTGGGCCTCACCTTGCACCGTGAGCACGGCCTGGGTGCGGACCTCTCCGGCGCTGTTCCAGGCCTCGCAGGTATACGTGCCTGTGTCCTCTGGAAACACCTCCTGGATACAAAGGCTGTGCAGAGTGCCTCTCTGTTCAAAGTGGAAGTCCTCTGACTCCTGGATCTCATTCCCGTTGTGAAGCCAGATGACCTCAGGGGGAGGATTCCCTAAATGGGGAAGAGGGCGGGGGTGACTGTTCAGGGAGGTCCTTCCCTGGCCATGTGGCAGCTCTGCACTTGTTGCTGTAATAGTGTATAAATGCTCTACCGAACTCTCTACACTTCAGTTTTCCCATAAAATAGGGATCCTAACAGCATCCACCTTGTAGGTTTGTTGGGAGGACTAAACGAGTTCACCAAACCCCCTTAGCAGCCCATCAAGACAGCAGATTAGAAGAGCATCTGGCACAAAGAAAACACTCAATGCTGTTCATCGGAATTATTGAACAACAGATTTGGAGAAACTAGAAAGAATTCAGATGCAAAAATATGATTTAAGAGATGAAAAAGAAAACCCAGGAAGAATGGTTTTCAAAATTAGAATTCAAACTGCTTGAGAACACAAAAGGGGTAACCAGATTCCTGGGCTGTAGCTGAACACATTTTCTGCTCTGCGCTGCTTCACGTGGTGCATCCACATGCCGGCGATGGGAACTTCCTGGTAGCTCCCTTGCAAATTTTCACCAGAAAGAGAGCTCAGTTAGCGTTTCATTTTGCTACCATACAAATGTCGCCCCAGGGTAAAGATGAGCACCGGCTTGCCAGGATTTCCAAACACGGCTCTTAGTGGACCACATTTTTAGGTTTTACTAGTTTATTTTTCTGGGCAATTTGTGTAGATTTGCTGGGGCATAAAACAATGACCATCTGTAAGGGCTTCCTCTCATGGAAGAGCTGAGACATTAGGTTCTGCTTCCAGGGAGCAAGACCCCTGACGTGGGCTGCTGAGGCAGGTTGTGTGGCACCAGGTCCTGGGAGGCTCAAGAGAGAGCAGACGGACATCTGTCTGCCATGGGTCAGATGTCACACACCTGGAGAGCAGGTGCAGACTCAGTGCACAGCATGGTGAGTGTGGACAGGCCCTCTGCCTGGGACTGTCACGGGATGGCCTCCAGCCTGTAGGAACAAACAGTCTATCCGAGCATCCCCAAAACGGGGAGCCCCCCGGTTCTTGCACAGCTCATCTTTATTGCTTCCGGGATGTCAGGCAGGGACCAAATCTAGCGGCAGAGAAGCTGGGGACTGGGGTGGGGGGAAAGGGACTGCAGGAAAACACAGCTAACAACCACAAAGAGCAGGAACTTGAGGTTTTGAGGCACACATACCTGTGGGGCTGCAACTTTCTTATAACACCTGTCAGTCATGTATATCAATCATCTGGTAACATCCCACACCTCCTGTATGCCCTTCCCCGGACCAGGCCAATAAAAGGAAACCACCTGGGAGTCCTCAACGTCTTTCTTCACTCGTGGAGACTGACCTGTTCCTCTCTGGAACGTACTCTCGCTTTGCATAGCTCCCTTCTTTTCTGCAACGAAAGCTGTTTCTGTGGAATTGCTTCCTGTCTGTGGTCACTCTGTGACATAGGCCTGCTTGTAAATTGTTCAAGCAAGGAGCCAAAGAACCAGAACAATAGTCTGCCAAGAGGCTGGACCTGACATGCAACTCAAGAGGAACTAAAAAACTAGGAAAGTGACCTCCAGGCTGTCATAGGCACTGATCAGTGGCCAAGAAACACTTATGCACTAATGGCAAAGTACAGCTGCCCCAGCCATGAGTGCAGTGCCAGGAGCTTCCCTGGGCTTCTCTTGCTCACCTCTAGCAACGACTGTGACATCTCAGACCACGATGCTAATCACATGTTCTTGTTGCCCTGCCTCTGTATTAGAAGGACCTCTGCCTCATCTTCTCACCTTAAAATTTGACTAGAGCAATTGAGATGATCATCTGAGAATTGGGAAGTTCTCACATAATTTGGTTTTGTACCAGTCTTCAGAACCTTCCAGCTACATTGGTCACACTATGTTTTCAAATCAACCCCTCACCAGTCTAACTATGGCTATCTTCTTCTCCTGCACCATTGAACCCTGAATCCAGAAAATCTTACTCAGAGAAGGCAGAAAATAGAGGCCAAGAGTCTCTACTTCTTTGGGTCTATTTCCTGATGGTCCCATCTGATTTTCTGGTAGATCAATGATCTCAGCAGGCCCTCAGGGAGCAGTACTCATTGCGATCATGCCCATTTTCACACATGCCCCGAAGAGAGAGACGCAGAGACAGACCTGACACCTGGACCGTCATGGTGACCTGGCTTCCATCCATGACTTTGAGATCAGAGAGGCCCTGCAGGAAGACAGGTGTGACGGGCCTGCTGGGAGCCACGGGCAGAACGTATTCACTCTTCCTATCGCTCTTCTTTTCTGTGTGGTAGACAACGGAATGTGGGGTGAACATTCATTCATTCAACAAACACAGAATAAATGTCCACTTGGTACATGACTGTGTTGATGCCAAGGTTCCTACCAGACATTGACAGCTAACAGATAAAGAGTGTTTGGAGGCCCTGGAGGTCATCAGGAACAAAATGTGCCCTGTTTCTCTGGTTGGCATGACAATACTCTTGCCCGATAGCAGGGAACGAACAATGACTCTATAGAGCCACGCCCAATCTAGGCTCTGGTTCCTCCAGAGAACTTCAAGGGGGGAAGCTAACACTTGCCATCTTATGAGATTTTTTTTTAAAATTTTATTTACTCTTTTGGATAAGTGATACATGGCACAAAATTCAAAAGGTACCAAAGAGTATGTGTAAAATGTCCCTCCCACCTGTCACCCGGGCTACCAATTATCTCTCCCCAGATGCAACCAATTTTCATTTTCTTGTTCATCTTGCCAGAGAAAATCTATGTATGTAACATACAGAAGAAAATAGATATTTTTAAATTTTCTTCACCTTTAAAAAATATACTATGCATGATGATTGGCATCTTGCTTTTTAACTTAATATATTTTTTGTCTCTCATAAAACAGAACTGAAGAGCTTCCCTATCGGTTGTGTGGTGCTCTATTGCCATCCTAGGTTATTTTAAGCACCCCAAGAAAGCCAAAGACACTGCACTCATTAGAATGGCTAAAATTAAAAAGATCATCCCAAGAACTGGTGTTGGTGAGGATGTGGAGCAAACTGCAGTTCTCATGTACTGCTGGTGGGAGTGTAAAACGGTACAGAGCCTTTTGAAAACAGTTTGGCGGTTTCTTAAAAAGTTAAACATACACTTTCCTTATGATCCAGACATTCTACTCTGGGTATGTACCCAAGAGAAATGAAAGTACGGGTTCACACAAAGACTTGTATACAAACATTCATAGCAGCTTCTTTCACAATACCCCCAAATGGACATGACCCAAATGTCTATCAACATGTAAGTAAATGAGCTATAACATATCCATACAATGGAATACTATTCAGCAACAAAAAAGAATGAGCTATTGAGAGACATCATAGCAGGGATGGATTTCACAATAATTATGTTGAATAAAAGAAATCAAAGAAGGAGTTCTATTTATAAAAAATTCTAGAAAATGCAAAGTATAGTGACAGAAAGCAGATCGGTGCTTGTGTGGGGCAGGAGACGGGGGGGCGGGGCTGGATTATAAAGGGGCATCAGGAAACATTTGGGGGTGATAGAGAAGTTCACTTTCTAAAATCACAGTGACGGTTTCATTCATGTATACATATGTCAAAACTAATCAAATGAAACACCTTAAATATATGCAGTTTATTGTATATCAATAATACCCTGATAAAAGCTGGGAGGAAAAAAATCAGCCTCTCTAAGAGAGGGAGAGAGGGAGGAAGGGAGAGAGGGTGGGGGAGGGAGCGCGCCAGCGAGTCAAGGACGAAAACTAGAGCACCGTTCTGGGTGCAGGGCTGGCCCCTCACTCCATTCAGTCCCCTGTGGAGACGGATGAACAAAGAGGACTCTCACCACTCTTGGAATCCTTCCCCACCTGGGCCTGCCCTGCCTACAGGAGCGGAAGGGGAGGAGGCCACAGAGTGCCTGGCCGGTGGTCTCCTTCCCACACAGCACAGCTGGGGGCGGGATGAGCCCACACCTGCCTAGCTGCTGGTCTCTCCCAGGCCAGGCAGCTCTGACTTTCAATAATTCCCTTTTAGCTTTTTTGTTTTTTGGCAGGTGCAGCAGTTGAGATGGGGAGGGCTAGGCTAACTCTAACTTAAACTCTAAGTTTTCAGGGAAAGGGCCTCTAGTATTTTGGGTTCTTAAAAGCACAGGGCCACAAATACCAGACCTTCTTTAGGAAGCAGAGCCATGGGGCTGTGTTCCCAGGGCATGTTACATATCTGGGCAAGGCCTAACTCCAAAGCTGCCACCGAATGTTTATCTGTTGCCACTGAAGACAAAGTCAGGCCCACTGCAGAGCTCTCGACCTCAGCCTCTGGGAATGTGGGTGGGAGAGGCCAGGAAGGCCCAGGAGGCTGGAGAAAAACTCCCCCCAAAGCAGGTGTGGTCTGAAGAGCATGGAGCCTGAGTTTGAAAGCAGGTAACCCCACGATCCCCACAGAAGAGGGGAATTCTCAGGCCCCTCCTGCCCTCCGTGCCCCTGATGCAGGCATTGCAACCTTTGGCGGAGGGCAGGTGGGGGCCTTGGCAGAAGGCCCTGGGGGTGGGCTTGGGGGCCCAGTATTGGAAATGCAGAGATCCATCTCGTTCCTCTGACTGGGCTGCCGCGGTCAGGAAAGCTGGCTGCCTCGGGAGAGTTGAGGAATTTCCTGTCTCGCACAGACTGACGAGGCTTGAGGCTAGAGGACAAAATGTTTTCGCCCCTCCAGAGTACTCCCTGTTCCCCACTCTCTGCGGTTTGAGCCTGGGTCCCCAGCCTCAGAGAACCCCATAGAGATGTGCTCTAGGTCCTAGGCACTGCAGGACGCCAGCACCGCTAGCTCGCTCTTCTTCATGCCGGTGCAGTCTCCTCTTTGACCCCACCCTCCTCGCTCCTGCCCACAGCCTGTTTCCTGGCCTGGGGCTTCGGCAGAGCCAAGTTACCCTGGGGGTCTCAGGCACTGGGGACTAAAAACCTATCTGCTCCTTCCCCCCTGGGAGCTCAGAAGCGCGTGTGAGAGGGTGGCTTCTCACTGGTTCTCTGCAAGCCTGAGGTCTGTCTGCAGCTGTGGAGGGGACGGTGGCGCTGCACTGGAAACCTAGGATCTGGGGCCAGATCCTGGCCTCAGGCAGGTCCCTGCCTCTCTCTGAAGCTCACCTTCCTCCTCTGTCTCTAGGGGTACTCAGAGCGTCATCACAGGACTTTGGGGAGTTTTAAAGAGATACTATGTGAGAATACTTTGTGCAACTATGCGGTATCAATGAGAGCATCTGTACGAGGCTGGCCTGAGAACCGACTCAAACCCACCCACGGGGCTCGATTGCTCCTTGGGCTCATCAGCAGCACAAGAACCAGCGGGGACTGGGCCTCACCCACACGTTGCACACTCATTTTGTATGAGCTGAGGCAAGTACCGTTAGGAATACAAACGTGTGACTTAAAAATACCATGGGATATATCTCAAAGTAAATCGAGAACAAGCTTTCATGGCATCCCCAGGAGGAGATGAGTGGGAGAGACTGAACTTGGGGCAACTCAATTCAATCCAAAGGCAAACAAATTATTCTGGCTCATCTGTGGCCTATAGACTCAATCATTCTATGCTCACTCTTGTGCGGTCTTAGGTAAAATGAGACAGATGGAAACCGACATTCTTAACTCATGGCTCTACTGCGTGATCTAGGCAAGCTTCCCAACCTAAGCCTCAGTGTTCTCGCCTATAAATTGATGATGATAACACAATAATGATAAGTGTAAGGTATATATCATCAGTATAATGCACCAGCAGCACTGCAGGTTTTAGATTATTTAAAAAATAACATATGTAAGACAGCTAGAATAATAACCGGCACATAAGAAGTATAAAAATCAATGTTTTTTGACTTTCCTAGGCCAGCTGACTTCTTTGGCTGGGCAACTCTACCTGACAATAACTATTAATACAATGAGAAAAGTTCTCCAATCCAGGACTTTCACATATAATCATGCAGGAAGGGAATGAACAGCAGCCACTGAGATAAAATTACAACAATGATTCCTTACAAAATTCTAGGACTCTAAAGGATGTTCATGGCTCATTTGGTGTTATCCTCAGCATCCTTGGAAGCACTGTGCAGATGGGGTCCCTGTTTCATAGCGGAGGGAGCTGAGAAGGGGAGAGGGAAGCTCACCCGCCCTAAGATCCTGGGGCTGAAAAGGCCCAAGGGACGGGGATGCAGCTAGCCAGGTCCTGGTCTGGGCACTGTCCCTCATCTGTCCTGAGAACACAGGCAGGACCCCTCAATTTGGCGGGGAACTTTCTGTCGTGGGGCACGTTTGTGTTCGTGCCCAGAGCCACCAGTAAGCCACCGCGTCGCTTCTCTGTAGGTGTCCTTCAGCTTTCCTCCAGCACCGTCCTGGCTGGGGGCCAGGGTCGGAGGTGAGAGGCTCCAGTGGCAATGCCGTCTCTGGGAGCCTGAGCTTATGTCTCTGGGGAGAGCACGCACTGGCCGTGGCACACAAACAGCAAGGGGCAGTTCTCTGGGGCCCAGTGACAGACTTGCTAGCCAGCTTCAACGGGGCCAGACTAAATAGGTCCCAGGCTTTTCCCACAGCTGTGCTCCCTGCTGCTCTGCTGAGACCATGCCCGGAGAGGGCCGAGTCTGCCTGGCTGACCGGCCTAGGATTAAAGCTCTGAAGTGAACTCGTCTGTGGCTCTGGGGCTTGGCATTGGCCACTGCCTCCCCACTCACACACCGACTCCGTCATTCAGCTGATGCCACTGTGCCGTTTGAGAGGATGGAAAAGGGTCAGACCTGTCCTCTCGCGGGAAAGACAAGAACTAAGACTAAGAATAAATGGCTTATAAAGCAGTTTGCTGATGAGTGAAAATGGTGCCATAGAGACTAAAGCTGTTAATGGGACTTAAGAAAGGGAAGGAAGTAGGAGAAAGAACAGAACAGAGAGAGAAAAGAGAAAGAGGAGAGAGGGAATAGGGGTGGGGGAAGGAAGGGAAAGGGCAGGGGAGAGACAGACAGACAGACAGACAGGCAGGCAGATATGCATGTGCACGATCCACAGAGTTTTCCCTTCCTGGCCATTTTTGCTCTGTTTTTGACTCATTTTTCCCCCTATTGTTACCAGGGGTTTTTACAATGCAGTTTTCACTGATACCTGGGTTTAAATATAGCTCACATCAGTGGGACTCAAGAATTTTGCACATAAGTTAAAAAGGGTAAGACACAGACTCACGGAAACACCTTCGATCCCTGGTCGAGGTCCAAGCAACTGTACCTATGAGTACTGTCCACGGTATTTG